TGTTCAAGGTCTCCATTAATTCGTGCTTGTAGTAATTTAATGTGTATATATTTTGAAAGCATTGAATCGCTATAGAAATCGCGATTCATTCGAAGCGTTTTAAATCGATTACTGTCCAAAATCGGCAATTCACGATTCAAAAATCATGTTTCAAGATCGATGCATATGCATCGTCAGGGTTTGTAATCGATGCATCGATAAAACGAGTGAATCGTTACACCCCTATACAAGAGTAGTCCAGTGAACGGGCGTGGTCGATCTGTTGCTAGCAATGTCCAAACAAGGTAATCCAAAGGGTTAATCTGAAACACAGGCGATTGTCCAGGCAAGGGGTAAACAGTATCCGAACAGGGCGAGACGAGAGGGGCAATCCAAAGACAGGCAAGATATCCAAAACCACAACTAGACAAAACAGGCGAAACAGACCAAGATAAGAAACTAGGCAAACTCAGGATGGCTCCGTAATGTTGCTATCACAGACTAGTGATATACACAAACAATACTCGGCAGTTTGAGAAGGATCTGAGTGGGTGTAATATAGTGTGTGTGTGTGTGATTGGTTACAGCTGTGTGAAATCAGTGCAATGGATGATGGGAAATGTAGTCCAGAGTGACATGCAAGAGTCTGTATAATGTGAAAGTCAATATAATGGGAGGTCGACCTCTGGTGGCAAGCAGACAGAAGTCCATGGACAGGATTCGTGACATAGCCCCCAAACAATATACGCGAACAATACTCTGCAGTTTGAGAAGGATCTGAGTGGGTGTAATATAGTGTGTGTGTGTGATTGGTTACAGCTGTGTGCAATCAGTGCAATGGATGATGGGAAATGTAGTCCAGAGTGACATGCAACAGTCTGTATAATGTGAAAGTCAATATAATGGGAGGGCGACCTCTGGTGGCGAGCAGACGGGACAGAAGCCCACCAGGGCGGAGCAGACAGGACAGAAGCACACCAGGGCGGAGCAGAAGACCTCCACGGCGGAGCAGATTGAGCAGGAACCCACCAGGGTGGAGCAGACGGGACAGAAGCCCACCAGGGTGGAGCAGACGGAGCAGAAGCCCACCAGGGTGTGTCGGCAGACCACCACGGCGGACCAGAGTGATCCGGATCCCATGGCGGGGACTAGGGCCTAGGGAAAACTGAGATACAAGATACAGGCAGTGCATATACGGCATCAAGGACCGGAAGAGGAAATACAGTTTCAAAACAAAACAGGCAGACATTTCATGAATGGTCTCTATAGTAGTGACAGGGTTAACGTGACAGACAGGGAGTGCATTTACATCTTCCGGGCTCATGACTGGGCCAATGGGGCAGATAGATGGTTCGAAATTAACCTCATTGACTGAAGTGGGATAAATAGATTGTTCACTAGTGGTCTTTTTGGCAATAACAGAATACTCGGCCACACAAGGATCCAGCAGCTTTTCACGCGGACATTGGCCAGGTATGGACATTGCAAAACTGTTATTAGCCCTAAAGCAGGGCACACGCCCGCTTGAAGGCTATATCCAAGAGTATCTGGACATTACGTGTTATTCTGATTTGCCAGACTGTTTATTGATAGACTTTTTATGTCAAGTCAAGTCACCTTTATTTATATAGCGCTTTTAACAATACAGATTGTGTCAAAGCAACTGTACAGCAGGACGGCTGCATGGTTACAATTTTATTTCTAAAAGTATCGATCTTGGAAGTAAAGTAGTTCATAAAGTCATTACTGCTGTGCTCTT